CGATTCAGAGGTCCTACTGTTTTTGTTAAAACCCTAATTCTTAAATTTTTCATCACTTATTACTGTGAGCTTTTGAAGACTTCCTTCACTTATTTCGGTGTGTTGGGTCTCCCCTACCTGTTGCTATGTGTTAGACTGCTTCCTTCATTTTTAGTTCTACGTGACTACTTGACTTTGTTGACTACCATGCTTCAAGTAGGTTCTCTTATTACTGAATCCTTAGCCTACTCGTGTTACTGCTATATGTTTATCTAGTTGCTTCTTTTGCCAATATGTTTGGCCTTGCATGTCTGATACTCCTGCTCATTCTTTTCTATTTATATGTCGAAGTATATAATCATGACCCCTTCCTAATTGATCTTGATTTCCTTAGGTTACGGTTTGATTGCAAGGTTTTCTTATAAACCCCTAGCTTTACTCGTTCTGTTTAAATTGATTGATTCCCTTCCTTTGCTGTGATGTTTTACCCCTGCTGAATCCTTTCCAAAAATTAAGTATACTTTGTACTTAGACCCAATTATTTACTCTATACTTTTACTATCCCCTATATGGTAAGAATCAATCTTTCTCAAACTAATTTCTTTCCTTAATTATCCCTGCTGGTATCCGTTAAATAGTAATTACTTGATTAAATGGAAGTACTTGTATTAATGGGATTTTGATTATGATTATTTCTATATTTGTGTTAAACCCTTACTGTTACCTTATTTTCTACTCGTTTTTAAAGCTATAAATACCCTACCATCTCTTCTCTAAACACACGAACAACTAAGTTCAGAACACACACACACACACACACATTCAAACTATCTTTTATTTCCCTACTGTTTGTGCTATTGCTTGTCTAGCCGTCTGAAAGCCAAAGCTAGACTGTGGAACTCTACTCGCTTTATTTTCTGTACTTTGCTTCATTAACTGGTATGTCCTAGTTTAATTTTAAGTTTCAACAACAACATGCTTCTTTATTTTTCAGTCTTTCTCATTCTTGGTCCACTTCTGTTTGTGGTTCTGTTGTGAAACTTGCATCTAAGTTACATTACCAGCATGTTATAATGTCTCCCCTTCCCCTGTAGATTAATGCACTCCCCTATGTGTGTTTCAAGGCATACTTTGTCAGTCGCTTATTATGTACTTGTCATCTTGTGAATCCCAAGTTCATATCCCTTTAATATGTTTATGTTCTTTCTGACCAGTTGGTGATTATGCCAGTACCAGCATTTGTTGTGCATGTCCAACTAGTCCTAAGACCCTCAATGGGGCTATGTGTTTACAATCAGAAATCCTCTATGTCCCCAACCCCTCTACTCCCATGTTTGTAACTGCTGAAGCATGTACTCCTCTCTGAATTTGTTTTGTGTGTATTATTGTTACTCCTAGTCCGTTCCCTTTTCGAAAACTGTTTTTATTAGGCAATCCTTTTGTTGTTTTACAAACTCACTTCAAACATGTTGTTTCTCAAAACTATTTTCCAACTCAACTCCTGTGAGTCTATGTCCAGCACTCTCATATGCACTCTTAGGTCATTAGGTTTTGCCCCTCTTATATGAGCCTTTCTTTGGGACCCTTGAGCTCCCTTTGAACCTGGACACATAAGGGCTGGCTCTTCCACACTGCACTTAATCTGGGTTATGCAATCTGGGTGTGAGCACTGCCCGGGATCCCTTGAGGTCCTTAGGGAACTCTAACACACCCAAGTATGAGAATGGCTTTGGAACAGTATTGACATTTGAAGTGGTTTATTACATAACTCGGAGAGGAAGTCAGGATCAGGCTTCCTATGATTGTAACTTCTTATTTTTGTATTTATTTTCTCTTATGTAATTCAATCACATGGTTTGTAATAATTTGTAAATAATTATGGAGTCGGCTAGTGAAAAGGGATGGGGAAATATGCATGCTATAGTTAAAGGGTAGAAAACATGTTATTAGGTTTATATTCCAAGTTGTGCAATAGAAATCAATCATACAATGCATTAGAAATCATGTTCTTAGGATTCATACTTCCTGCTATAGCATCTCATTCATTAATCCATGCTTCGTGTCCAACACGTAGAAATCATGCTTCTAGGACGAATAAATAAAAATTGTTACTCAAGAAGTCGTTTCTTAATAATTGTGCAATTCTTTTGTATATTTAGAAGTCATGCCTTAGGAACTCTGTCTTCTGCATGTGCATATTAGATATCATGTTCTAGGATCTTGTTTGCATTTTGTTTAAAAATGCCTAGATAATTACTGATTCATGTAAGAGGTAGTAAGGTGATAGTTTTCACATTGCGAAGTCTCTGAATAACTAGTAATAATCTCTGCAATTAGAACAACATGTTTTAGTTAATAGTAAGTTCCAAACTGTCTTAGCAATTCTAAATAACTACTGAATACTGCTTATGCCTAGGCAGGCCTTAGGTAATTACTTAAATAAAACTGGAACTGCCTTTGTTTAATTATCAACTGTTACAACCAGCAGGCAGCCCTGATTCGGACTTCTTTTCTGAGTTATATAATGAATCTGATTCTGACTTAAACACCCTGCTTAGGACTTTAAATTCAGATCTTAACAGTGTATAAGTCATGTTGTCTATGTGCACTATTTGCAGTGGCATAACTGAGCCTTCTATCTGCTTATATGTTTCCCCCTAATTGCAGTCTTATATGTTTTGTATGTCACTTTAGTATTTTTACCTTTAAACTTGAGGGTCTGCCTAGAACCTCCTTCTTATAGGAATAGGAGTCCTAAAATTCCTCCGGGACTGATAGGAAGGGACGAGTAACATCATGCAATAGAGGTCGAGACCAACCCTCGCTTTAGTTACCTTAACGGGGTGGGAAATGGTAGATATTGATATGATGATCGGTGCACTAATACCACGTGTATCTCCTCTTATGAGGAGTGTCATACCGGGTATTGCATTGACGTGATCCATATTACAAACAAACCGAGGACACTCCTTTTATTTTTGTAAGTACGCTTAGATTATAACTCTTTTTTTTAAAAAAAAAACTTGCTTTCATTGATCGTTTTCAAACACTTATGTGTTTAACTTAAATCCCTTATTATTTGAGCCCTACTTGTCTACTTGCTAATTGCACAAATTCACAAAAACTATCTGGTCGGGAACCACACTAGTGGATCCTGAGGGGTGCATAACACATTCCCCTTAGGATAATTTCAATCTCTTACCCTATCTCTAGTTATCAAACATAGTTGTAGTTGAACCTTATTGGTGCCTTAACGCACCTTAAAATCGTTAGGTGGAGACTCTTCAAATACCTAATTCCCAAAAGGAAATGAGTCATTACACCCCATGAATGTCGAAACCCGGACTCCTCTCCGCGGAAGGAAAAAGGGGGCGCGACACCTGGGCTCGAGCTCGAGCTATCGCGGATAACTGGGAAGGGAATAAAATATAGGATACAATTAAAGAAGGCTCTTTATGGCCAATACCAAGCAATAAATAAAGAACAAATACGAAGGCAATAAATGGAAGAAGTAGTTTCGAGCGTGTATATTTAGATAGAAAGAAGAGAAATTTGTTATTGATCTTGTGTAGAGTAGTTGGGGTAACAACCACCCTTTAAAAAGTGGTGATGATTCCCTTTATATAGGAGGGGAATCCTATTATAGTACAATGTGCATTAATTGTAAAAGCATGGATATGGGACAGCTAGACGCGATACCTCGATACAGGCTTTGGGTAGGCCGGCTCTATCAGACTTAGCCATGTGCCTTGAAAATTCCCCATTTTTATCTAGCCTCAATCTTCGTCTTCTTTGAGTCGGGCCTCGACGAGCCCCGAGGGAAGGAACTCGGCCGCAACTCCGCATCCTCGGGGTCTCGAGACATTCTTCTGAAGTGACTTGATAGCAAGAAATTATGCCCTCTTGAGCCTGAAGGAAGATAGTGATTAACTCGTGGTCATCCATGGGTGGCTTAACTCTAGCCGCTTGCTGTCACACCTCATTTTTCCACCCGAGAGGGGATATAAGGGAGTTTTTCCAATTTAAGTGACATTATTCGAAATGGGATTATTTTATTTATTTTTAGAGTTGCCACTTGGAATATTTATTATGGTGTCCCAAGTCATCGATTTATTTAAAATCCCAAATCAAGGAAATTTTCGACTTTATTTAAAAGTTTGCAAACCTGAAATTCTAAGTAAGGAATTTTGTTAACATGGGAGAAGGTGTTAGGCATTCTCAGATTCCGTGGTTCTAGCACGGTCACTTAAGCTATTAATAATTGGCCTATTATCTGATTTACTACATGTTTTAAACCTACTGTGCATTTTAACTTTTATAAACCGCTTTTAATTAATTTATGGAATTATTATGGAATAAGTTACGATTGTCGTACACTTGTTTGTTTGATACACATTGCGAATCATGTCACGGGAACCGTACCCGAGATCTACAATACGCTTAAATTATTAAAGATTAAATTATGGTTGGGTCACATAAATGTACCCCCGGATTTTACTAATAAAGAGTCACGACTACGTCACGGGAACCGTACCCGTAGCTATGACAATTATTTAATTAATGCGCCTAAAGCAAACTACGAAAGTTCAAGGAAATTTCTATACTAAATTTATATTTATGTGAGGGCCATAGATTATAGGATTTTTATTTGTGTATGGCACTCCCCAAATTATTTTCTAAAGGAATTAGCTCTTGATCTAATTTTGTGAGGGTCATGTATTATAGGTTTTGTTTGGGCACGGCACACCTCAAATTATTTTAAAAGGTTGCACTTAAAGCAAACTACGGATGTTCGAATTATTTTCTAACTATCCTTGAGATTTGTTGTAAAGTCAAGAGCTATGGAATCAATTTATCACCCAGGCTTCACTTCCAAGATTATAAGCAAACTGGGCAGATTTATCTATACTAAAAGATTCCCTGCTACAGGCATAGTGAGTTAATTACTGTATAATTGAAAAAATAGGAAGAAATTCGAATGTCCTCACTACATTGGAATCTCTAACACGCTGACACACATATACACATAACGACAAAGAATAATAAATAAAAAGAGATCAGTCTTTACATTCATATGTGACTAACCTTCACACATTCATTCTGCTAATTAAGGACTAAACATTAGTCATTAAATTTTACATGATTGACAGTGAATAAACAAACATCAGAAATACACACAAACAATACACGTACATACACAACCTACAAGAAATAAGCATGAATCTCTAATCAGTTGCACAGAAATTTCATGAGACACCACAGATAAAGCCTTAGCTCTCTATATAAAATCTTTGCATTTCCTCCAAATAATCTCAAAGTAGGCAAGTAAGCAGCTAGCTCTTCTCACAAATATATATATATCTTCACATAAAGTGGCATCTAGAGGAAGTGGCTTTTGGAAAAGATATGTATCATTCCATAACTACTCCTCCACCGATATCACCTTTTAGCATAAAGACTCCAAACTCCACTCACTATTCCAGATCCCGTCTATGAAACAGGGAGAATTTGGGCAGTAAACAACAAAGAAGAGAAAAGTCCCCTTGCAGATGGAATAGATAATAGTGTAATCAAAATTCTAACTTTACTAGTAAATAAATAAGGAAAGGAACTTCCATAAACGAAGAACTATCATATAAGACCAGATTGAACTGCATCATGAGCTGGGACAGAAATAAAGAAATACAATAAAACAATTGCACGAGCGCTTTTGAAGAATGGGAGAGATAGCTAATAAAGGAACTAAAAGAAAAGGAGAAGAAGTGATTAACCAACCTAAAACCACGCACATCAATAAAAACACACATATACAAATACACATTCTGCTATATTTTGATAAGAGAAGTAAAACAATTTAAACCCCTCACCTAGATTCATTAATTTTAAAATCTAATTTGAACTTATAAGGCTTCGTCTCAACTTTCAGTAAATCTCCACAATAACATTAGCAAACCATATGAATGATTAAAGGTAATGAGTGTGTGTGTATGTGTAGCCGTGAATTTTAGAAGCACGAAATGACACAACAAGCCAAGAACATTTTTTAATCTTTCATTGTTAAGTTCAAATGATCATTCAAGCGAGTTTAAACATATCCTGCTGGATAAACAAACAATGTCATTTCATCACAACCTTTAATACATCAATAAAACAAACAACATGAGGAGGTAGATGTTTACCTTGAAAACAAAACAAGAGAAGGAATAAGACCAAATAAAGGTCAAGCAAACCAAGAAGAAAGCAGCAGCTTCTGACGGCAAAACCAACAAAATCAGCACCTCTAAAGCTCAATCAACTTTGATATCCCCAGAATTATAAACCGAAATTTCTCTTTTTCTTATCCGAAACTTTCTTCAAAAATATGTTCTCTCAGAATCTGTATCAATTTTTTTTGTTTTTTTTGTATTAACCAACTCGAACAAAAGAAATCAGAAGAAAACAAAAATCTCGAATCTGAACAAAAGAAATCAGAAGAAAACGACAAAAAAACTGAAAAATCTCACAAAAGGAACTCAAGAACTCTAGAAAGTTTTTACTCCACTAATTTTTCTAAAAATTTTTCCTTTGATATTTTCTTACCCCTTAAACAAGAAAACTCACCTTATATATAACCCTTAAAAATCTCGAAGCTTCTGCCCAAAAATTCGAAAAATCTCCTTGTTTGTGAGCGATTTTAGGGACAAATGGAAAGCATGGATTGATTTCCATCCATCCACGACTCCAATTCATCCAGCAAAACACTCAATAGTACAATTATCGTGCAAATTCGGAAGGCATATTCTTTTTCTCTGACAGAAATCCATTGGAATAAAGTGACGTGGAGAGAAGGGACCCATTTGAGTGAACTCGCCTGCGTTTTAGGCGAGTTAAGGTTTGAATCGGCGAAGAAGATGAACAGTACAAGGGGCCATCGTTTCTGTATTTCCTAGGTTTAGGGTTTGAATTGGGGGGGAAATATTAGGATGTTATATATTAAGCGAAATGGGCGGGTCAAACAGGCGGGTTTTGGGTCAGATTTTTTTTTTGGGCTGGGGCGGGAAGAGCGGTATTTGGGCTGGGGGGATTAAGACAAGGAATTTTTACATTCCTATGCTACATAGGAAACCTTATTACCCTCAATGTTTAAGGTTTGACTTAATTACACTTAGTATACCAAATTACCAATTCTATACCATAATTAATTAAGGGTATAATTAATTGTACATTATTTACTCATTAATTAAAGGAATCTGTACGTTTCTCTCTCCTAACCCCTCAGTCCCACCCACGTTTTACCCATACTCATGTTTTTTTTTACCATTTTCCATCTTCTGAAACTAAATTCTCCATCTAAATTCACAGAAAAGAATAGTATTCACAAACGTGAAGGCGAAATGTGCACTACGAATGTGAAACAAAAGCAACAGAAGCATATGACCAACAAGCTTCGCGCAACAACATCATGATATTTCAGAAATAAAAGATAAGCGGACATGAATTTTGACCAGTTTATGATTTTTAGAAGCCTTAGTAGAACTACTTTGCTTTCCACACAGCCATTAAAAAGCTTTGAAGCTTTGAATTCAAATTTGAATTTTCAAAAATCATTATTTGTTTTGATTGGGTGTTGTTGTAAATAATTGGGAATATGTTTTGGAGTTTATACCTATATTTTGAGGGGTTTTGGTGAAGATTTAAACTTGGTTTTGGCTGAATTTCAGATTGAAACTCGAAGAAGAAAAAGAAGAAGAAGACATATTGCAGAAATTGTAGATAAATTGTAGATAAATTGTAGTTACAGTTGGATTGATCAGAATTTCAACTAAATACATCTTCGCCGCCGTTGACGGCTTCCGACGAGGAAACTCCTCTGTTCTCTACTTCTCCATTCTCCATTTCTTATTTTTACTTCTGTTTTACTTTTTCTATTTCTAATTTGAGTTTCTTGATTTCGCACACTTTATACACACATTTGATACATCAAAAATATGAAGTAGTTGCAGTTGGATTGATTAGAATTAAAAATAAATAAAAGAGATTTTTACATCCTATGCCACATATATTTCAAATTTTATGGAAGTCTGATTTTACGGTAATATCTATAAAATTCCTACATTTATCTACAAATAAACTACACATCAGTTTTATGATGTATAAAGTAATATTATTTTCATAATTATCTACAAAATTACTACATTTATACTACAATTAAACTACAATCTATGTTGAAAAAATGTTGACTACAAAATTTTTCTCTTCATCTACAAAAATTCTACAAATATACTACAAATCAGTTTAAGTATGTATAAAATAGTATTATTTGTAAGGGTATCTACATAATTACTACATTTTTACTACAATTAAACTACAATATATGTTTAAAATCTATAAATTATCTACAAAATATCTACAAACTGGGTACATTGAATTTTTAATATCCTAATTCCCATTCAATTGTAGCATAATTGGGATTTTTGACATAATTGCATTTTTCCAGAAGATTTGTAGAAGTTTTCATCATTTTTTTATTTGTGAAAAACAGAAAATAAAGCATCTACAATCAGAATATAAATAATCAACAATTTATCTACAAAATATCTACAATTTCTGCAATATGTCTTCTTCTTCTTCTTCTTCTTCGAGTTTCAATCTGAAATTCAGTCAAAACCAAGTCTAATCTTCACCAAAATCCCTCAAAATTGAGATATAAACTCCAAACCATATTCCCAATTATTTTCAACAACACCCAATCCAAACAAATAATGATTTTTTGAAAACCCAAATTTGAATTCAAAGCTTTCAAGCTTTTTAATGGCTATCAATGGTAGATTTGTAGCGATTTTGATTTAATGACGAACTGAGATTTTGATTTGTAGCGATTATGAGAAAAAAAACGGAACAGAATTTGATTATAAATTGAAGATAATTGATTTCCGTGATATGATTTGATCTCCTTTCCGTTTCAAAACATGAATTTAATGTAGAATCAATCAATCCCAAGATTCTTTCTTGATTTTTCGCGCGTTATTAAGGGAAGATTCTGCCCTATTAATTCCTAATAAACGAATGGTACATAAATTGTAGGAAAAATGTGGACTAGGCGGGTAATTTAGATACTATGCACATATTTGGTAATAAAGTTTCATATATGGTATAGGAAGGAAAAAATACCTTAAGACAAATTAAAGTGCAGCCCAAATGTTAGACCCCTTCAAATTCGTTTTTTCTCTATGTCTTTTATTATTTTTTTAATCTCTTTTTTAATTAAAGAAAAATCCTAAATTAATCTAAAAAGTGGAATTAAACTAGTTGCCTAATTACAAAAATTATAAAAATTAACTAATCCTTAAATTAAAAGTGAAAAAATCAATAATCTCAAAATAAGAGGAAAAAAATGTCAAAATGGGCCATTTTTGTGATTTTTATTTAAATAATGAAAATAATTAATTAATCCTAAAAATGTAAAAACAAACCTAAATGTAATGCATGATATTTTTTGGCATTTTTTCATGAATTTTAGTAAAATTAAACGTGCACAGAAATGCAAACAATTAATAAAAATCTACAAAACAATTCCTAAAAATGGCAAATAATTAAGAAAAAAATCTATTTTCTTGGGATTTTATAGGAGTAGTTCGTATAGGGCAAAAATCACATGCTCACAGTTGCGTTCGTGTTTTCGAGCAAAGATAAAATGAGCAATTACGAGGTATTTTTGTCCATTTGAAACTCCATGACAAGCATCTTTTGAAAGAGTTTGACCGAACCTTGTTTCGGAGGTTGCATGCATATCCTTAGTTATAAAGAAATCAAGTCAGTGTAGTTCTGGAAGTTTTGGTAGGTGGGGCTACCGGGAAACTATGATTTCACTATTGTTGTTGTTGTTGTTGTTGTTTCTGCTTGTTGAGATCCTTATTACACCGAAATGAAAGATAAAAAGTTAAACTAGTTAAACTTATCATCTACAAGTTACAAGATTCCTATCTATAAACCTTCTAAAGCTTGATCTTGAGTCTTGGGTGGTTCTTCCTGCAGACTCTGATCTGAATCTTGATACTCGTTAGCTGCAATCGTTGGTTCATTCTTCTTTATCTTTTCGTATCAAGGTGGGACAAGCGAAGCTTGTGACTTCAATCAAATTTTGAGTAGCCCGCATCTTTTCTCCGCTTCTGCACCTTGAGTTCAACTTTTTTTTCTTATTTCTTCTTTTCTTTTATTGGGTTGAGACTTCTTCTTTTGGTCATCTCAAACCTTGTGCCTCAGGGTGAAAACCTGTTTAGGCACCAAAGCAAACAAACGAACAAAATTTTTCTGCCCCAGTTTTCACTAGGAAAATTTCGTGAGTTATTGTAACAAAATCTAAACTATTTCTTTATTGAAAGCAATAAAATCAGTATTGTGTATCCTTGGTAATGAGAGATTAGGGAGTGGAACCCTATATCTATAATGAAATCAACTAGGGATTGGGGGCCCTAAATTAGAAAGGCTGCCAGGTTATGCTAGAAAAATGGTCGGGTTATGCCGGAAAAGAAAAAGGTCCTCGGGTTATGCTGGGGAGGTCCACGGGCTACGCCGGGAAAGTTATTGGGTTATGCCGGAAAAGAAAAAGGTCTTTGGGTTATGCCGGAAAGGTCCACGGGTTATGTGCCAGGAAAATCATCGGGTTATGCCGGAGAATAAAAAGGTCTTCGGGTTATGTCGGGGAAGTCATCGGGTTATGTTGGGGGGGTCCATGGGTTATGTTGGGAAAGTCATCGGGTTATGCCGAAAAGAAAAAGGTCCTCAGGTTATGTCGGGGAGGTCCACGGGTTATGCTGGGAAAGCCATCGGGTTATGCCAAAAAAGAAAAAGGTCTTTGGGTTATGCCGGGAAGGTCCACAGGTTATGCTATAAAAGGTCATCGGGTTATGCCGGAAAAGAAAAAAGGTCCTCGGGTTATGCCGGGGAGGTCCACGGGTTAGGCAGAAAGTCATTGAGTTATGCCAGAAAAGAAAAAGGTCTTCGGGTTATGCCGGCGTGGTCCACGGGTTATGCCAGGAAAGTCATCGAGTTATGCCAGAAAAGAAAAAGGTCTTCGGATTATGCCGGGGAGGTCCACGGGTTATGCCGGGAAAGTCATCGGGTTATGCCGAAAAAGGTCCTCGGGTTATGCCGGGGAGGTCCACGGGTTATGCCGGGAAAGTCATCGGGTTATGCCGAAAAAGGTCCTCGGGTTATGCCGGGGAGTTCCACGAGTTATGCCGGAAAAGGTCCTCGGGTTATGCCGGGGAGGTCCACGGGTTATACCGGGAAAGTCATCGGGTTATGCCGGAAGAAGGTCCTCGGATTATGCCGGGAAAGAGAAGATCCTCGGGTTATGCCGGGGATTAACTAGGGAATGGAACCCTATAATGGAAAAGACTACTAGGTTATGCTGGGAGTGACTAGGGAATGGGACCCTATCTTAGAAGAACGTAGCTAGAGATTGGGGACCATAGGCTACCATGATTTTTGGAATTTTTCTTCTTCTTGTTTTTATTTCACTTTTAATACTATTCAAGAGAATGCATGAAGAGTTTGAAAAGGACTTTACTTTTTGGGTTGACTTCTGCTGCAGGACCATTCTTGATCTCTGCGCATCTTGCATATATTGAACCTGCTTCTTGCGAGGCTATCTTAGATTGAACCTATTTTCAAATCAAAGAACAATTTATCAGTTTGAAATGGTGGTTGGTTTTGTGGCCTTGATTGTTTTGATTAATTGATCTCGGCCCAACTCTTTTGCTGAAACCCTTTACTGCTTGCTGGCTTTCTGGAGACCGATTTCTCTTCTAAAAGCGGATATCTTGAGTTTTCCTAGAATTTCACATGACGGTTAACCCTTGAGGCTTGGTTTTTCATTTCACTTCGCCTTTATGGGCACTTGACTTTGAATTCTTTCCTTTTCAAGAATTTTCAACTCTGAAGCATC